ACTGATTGGGAGAACAATGTCCAGGGCTTTTTGCTAAATTTCTAGATAAATGTGGAATCATTCCATAGTACACCATGACGGGACCCCTAGCATAAACGGCATTACTGAGAAACGAAACATAACACTTAAGGACATGGTAAGGAGTATAGATTTCACCTTGCCAGAGTATTTCTAGGAAGAAGCACTAAATACTTCAGTTTAAATTCCCAATAAAGTTCCAAGTAAAACAACTGTTAAGTGGTTAAAAAATTTTAAAGATCCCATTATTAGATCAATTTTCGAAATATGAAATGCTCGATTTTTTGAGGATGTAGAGTTTGCGGAGGATATGAGGTTTTAATGTTAAAGATTCTGTCTTTGAGAAAGGATATGTATCCCTTTCTGTTGTAATTAACAATGATTGAGATAAAAAAAAAATTCTTGCTCCAAATCTTGTTCAAGAAACAATTTTGGATTAAAACAATATTACAAAATTCTCTATACACAATAAAGAGATTGTTCAAGAAGAACAAACTCAACAATTTCAAGAACAAATGTCATTAAGGAAATCCATTATAGAAATGAGAAAGACAAGTTTTGATAACTTTATAATCTTTCTCCAATAAAATAATGATGGAATTGGGTTGATGGAAGAATGTCTAACCAATCAACTTTCATCAAGTCATGCAAAAGAATAATTCTCAAGAGTGAATTGATGCAATTAATAAAGAAATAAAGTCCATGAAAGAAAACGTTTGGGAACTCATCCCATTGCCTGAAGGTGCAAAACTCATTGGTTGTAAATTGATATTTAAAACTAAGAAGGATTCAAAGGGTGATGTGGAGAGATATAATGCTTGTCTTATGGCAAATGACTTTACCCAAAAGGAAGGTATTGACTTTAAAAAAAATTCTATCCGATTTTTACGATAGAATCTTTTAGGATAATTATGGTACTTGTGACACATTTTTTTATCTTAAATTACGTCAGATGGTTTGTGAATTAAATAAATCTATATATGGGCTTATGCAAGATTCTTGTCAATGATATCACAAATTTCATCAAATAATTATCTCATTTGATTTTAAGATGAATGTAGTTGATAATTGTATATATCACAAGTTCAGTGGGAGTAAGCATATTTTGGTATTTGATGTCGTTGACATACTGTTTACAAACAATGATATATGTTTACTGCACAAAATCAAGAGATTTCTGTCATGAAATTTCGAAATAAAAGATTTTGGTGACGCTTCGTTTGTGTCCGGGATATAGATCACTGTGATTGTTCTCATGGTATTTTTGAATTATCACAAAAGAGTTATATCGACAAAGTTCTTAAGAGATTTGTGATGTAGTAATGTAACCCAGGTGATATCCCTATTGCTAGGAGAGACAAGTTTAGTCTCAATCAATTCTCTAAGGATAAACTTAATGAAATTCCCCGTACTTCAGTAGTTGGGAGTTTAACGTATGCTTAAATTTGTACATATCTTAATATAGTATTCATTGTTGGAATGTTTGGCAGATATTTAAGTAACTTTGAGATGGATATTTAGAAAGAACTAAAATGGGTTATTCGGTATCTATAAAGAACAAAGGATTGCATAATCATATATAGAAAATTAGACCAATTGGAGATCATTAGATACTCTGATCGTGGAATATAACTGCTGAATTGTCACTGGGATGCACATTCTAGATGAAAATGAAAGATCGCTTAAGTTAGTTTATGATAATAGCAGTTTTGAATTTCAATAAGAGCTCGATTATGTCAAAGTTTGTAAACATTAATTTCCTAGTTGTTAAGGAAATAGTTCAGAGTATTTAGGTTTCGGTGGAGCATATGATGACAAACTATATGATTATGGATCCACTTAATAAATGACTACCACCCAAGATCATTCATGAGCAATACTTATATGAGTGTTGCATATTTTGATGATATATCATTTTAGAAGGAGTTTGTATTTGGATGTTCTTTGTTATAAACACATAATTTTATCCATGGATATTCATTTTAACTTAAAAATAAAGTATTCAGTTCAATGTTTACTCTAATTAAAGGTTTTTTTTATCCTATTAAAGTATAAGGTATTAAAGCAAAAGGTAGGACCAACTCGAAATATGCATGTTTGGATCATATTACATGTAATTTTCATGCTACACATCCATACTTAATCTGTCATTTGATTGTGTTAATATACATGACCATTGAGGATTTAATTATGATAATTGTAACGAAGATCACTTTGATTCTATATTGACATAATTGATGGACGAGATTGTTCGAAGGTGTTTTTAATTATGATAGCAAAAGTTTTGTGTTCATAAGCTTATATACATTTATAATGTAACATATGTGGTCCAAGTAAACGATTGTTGAGAAAATAATAATTTGTCATGTAAGCATGCATATGTAATTAATTGTGTATAAATGATAAACTTAAGCCCGTTTAAAGTGGTCTAATAAGAAACGTAAGTTATTGGGTTTTGTGCATCTAAATAAAGTGTAGGCTAAATATGTATAGAGACTGAATATATTAGGATTGTATTTGACGATGTGCCGAATACATATGAAAATATAAATAGGGTTATGATCGTCAATTCGTATGTGATTCTCATTCTTTTTGTCATCACATCAACACAAAAATATAAGAAAAAACATATTGAAAAGAAAGATCCAAAACCCACAATGACAAATATGAAATTAACAATCAAGAAGGAGGAATTGAGAAAATCAAGATTATGGAGCAAGAAGTCGAAGTCAAGAACAAGAACTCAAGAATTAATAGAGGCAATGTTCAAGATTAAAGATTAAGAAACCAAACTTGATGATATTGCAGTTGATCTTCAAGATTCAAGATCTGAAATCAATATTCAATAATAAAGAATCATTACCAATGAATTAAGTTATGTTCTGCATTGAATAATTCTAATGGTGATTTAACATGAAAGATCTCGATAATAAAGTAATTAGATTTTAAGTTCTTAAAATTTTAGAGTATCATAAAATTCTAACAAAGCAATCTCATATTTTATATTAAATTCTTGATAACATTATAATATATGTTTGAAAATGGTTTTGGATTATTGATGACTTGAGTCCATTAGAATACTTTAATGCAAGTTGTTATGGACAGGGCCAGAGTTTGAAGTAAGGGGACTAAAATTTTTTTTTTTTTTTGGGGGGGGGGGAGGGGGTATTTTTTTTTTTTTTTGGGGGGGGGGGGGAGTGGGGGCGTATATATATAACAACTTGCATTAAAGTATGCTAATGGACTTAAGTCATCAATAATCCAAAACCATTTTCAAACCTATTTATATATGCAACTGAGATTTAGATAGAGCTTTAAGGTGGGGCAGTTGGAAAAATTCAAATGGTGCATTGAGTCGCCATCAAAGGATGATTTCTTCAATTCTATCGCTCATTATTTGGGCACCCACCACAGCTTTTTTTGTCGGCCTTTTGTCCTCTCTTGACCCACCCTCCCCCCTCCACCCAACATGCACACTCATCTTCTTCATTGAAAAGTTTCTTTATTTTTTTATTTTTTCTGAACTTCTCACTTATTGTTATTAAGACCACTACGGGTCGATCTAAAGGTCATTAGACGTATATTTCTTTGTTTTTGTTTGCTTACTGAAAGTAAGGTTTTCGTACCCTCCTAAATCCTTCGCGTTTTCATGTTCTTTATTTGATAAATTGGTATAGAACCATACCGAACATAAACTGCCATGAGTGGTAAGAAATTTATCTATAAGAATGTTTTAGTTAGGAAATAAGGTAACTACTTGAAAAATATTCCTCCTTACTTCTTGAAATATTTTTAGGCAAATTTTCCCATAAAATTTGATTTTCCCCTGAAAAACATATATATGATAATAATTAGATGTATGGTGGTTGTATCTTAGAATTCGATTTCCATTTCTATGTTGCAATCAAATGGTCAAAGTGAAATTCTTTTTTCTCATATGTGACATTTTCCATAAAAAATGTGGCAATCAAACGGTGCCTTAGAGTTTAGAATCATTAGAAAAGACATTCAATAAAGAAAAAGGGAAGATGGTGTAATATATGCTTTGACAACAGCTTTAAAAGTTAAGATGCCATGCATAGACGTTAGACTTTCCTTTCCATCCTATTATTAATTAATTTGTATCATATAGTAACAAAATTAATCTATTTCCTTATCTCGATGAGCCGAAACGAAATCTCTTATTTTGTGTGGACTAACAGTTCAATAGATCTACGTCGTAATTGAGAATATTCACTGCTAATTAAAGTTCTGATCGAGGTTCGATCGTCACAAATGAAGCATAGAGAATTTGTTTCATATGCTTTTCTTCTTGGAGCTTTTCAGAGACCCTTTCTTAGATAGGTGAATTCCGTGTTTAAAAGGCATTGTGTCTTTCTTGGAATTTCTCTTTTTCACAGAAGAAAAGAGAGTTGTTTTAGACATTTCATTTAATATTAATACAGTTACACATAAACAACCAAACACTAGACTAAAATATATAAGAGAAAAAAGACTTGAGTGGGAAACGACAATAAATTAGGAATCTAGAATTCCTCCATTAATCAAGAGTCAAAAAGCAGAAGCCCACCACAATATATACAAGTATTTTTACAATCACTCTCAAGAGAATTAAAAATATTAAAGGATATTTTATAAATAATTTGAAGTGATATCACCGATATAGAACTAGGGTTCATTCCAAAAGGCTAACGTATTAAGTAGGATAACTCAATTCCTACTAGTCGATGTGCATTTTTTCGCAGACAAAGGTTCAAAGGAAAACAAATAAAATATGGAGTGTGATTAGTACAGTCAAAACAAACACAATCCCTTATTTTCTCTTTTCCTGCTCCCATCATCTATAAAGTAAAGCCAACACACAAACCACTCAAAACATTCTTTTCTTGCATCAAAAACAGCTGCAGACAAAGGAGCTGAAATATCTCTACCTTAAAGACATCCAATTGCTTTTTTTGCAACCTTTTTCTTCGTACGAATTCATGGATACTTCTCACTGGACGCAGGTGCGTAGACTTCTCTGTAGTCTAAACATTCTCTTGCAATTTTTCCAAGTTTTTTTCTGAGGTGCAGAAGAAGGCTGCAAGTTTCAAGACTGAAATACGTATTTTATACAAATTAATGAAATATAACTGGAATTCCTTATCGTTCTTTCCTTTTATGTTCCTTATCTTGTTGCCCCTATTTCATTTTATTTTGGAACTTCAATTAGAGTTTCAAATAGTTTATTATTAGATGAAAGCACTGCACTTTTGTTTCTTCCACTTTTTGCATGTGTGGTAATCAATAAATTAAGCCAAAGGATTGAGAAAAAAGTATTCTTCCATATTATTCTTAATTTGTTTCATCTTTTCAATTTCAATATAGGATTCTCAAAACCTAGTTACCCAGTCTTGTCGGTCTCATATAATTTTCTCTAACAGTATGTTTGCTATGCTACATATAGTTAGACAGTATTGAACAGTAGAATAAATAGGATTTTAGCTTATTTTCCAGTTGGATTTCAGGAAATTGGAGTGGAAAAATCCATGCCAGAAATAACTGTAAATACATGCTCAAGGCCATTAGTGGAGAAAAAAGTGAGGCCACAAAATGAACAAGCCCTTAACTGTCCAAGGTGTAATTCGACGAACACGAAGTTTTGTTACTACAACAATTACAGTCTTACTCAACCAAGATACTTCTGCAAGACTTGCAGAAGGTACTGGACTGAAGGTGGCACCCTCAGAAATGTTCCTGTGGGGGGCGGATCGAGAAAGAACAAGAAGTCTACATTTAGTTCATCATCATTATCAATATCAACATTCGATTCATCCCATAATAAACTTCCTGATCTGAACCCTCCAATTATCTCTCAGTTTTCTGATCAAAACCTTAACGGGCAAGATCTTAACTTAGCTTTTTCTGCAGCTCCACAACAGTTCTATCATGGCACTGTTCCTCATTTTCTTGAATTCCCTAAGATTGAGAACAACAATAACATCAACTCTTCTTCTTCGAATCCGGTTTCGGCCATAGATTTGCTAAGGACTGGAATAACTTCAAAGGGATTGAATTCCATTTTTCCTACACCAAATGTGGAAACTAATGCACTTCTTGCATCAGGTTTTCCAGTTCAAGAATGCAAACCAGCAGCCATTGGTTTTTCCTATGATGGAAGGCCTACATTTCAACGACATTCGGGCACAGACGAAGTCAATAATCAGATCAACAAGGGACACCATAACTCAAATGGATACTGGAATGGAATGTTAGGTGGAGGATCTTGGTAAAAAGAAGAACAAGCACAGCCACTTTTTTTCATCTTTCTTTTTTTTTTTTTTTTGTCGATTTTCTTTGTTCCTTTTCATGGTTGGTTAATTAGTTGTATGGAGTTGTTTAAAACTAACATATTTACAAGATTTGTATGATTTTCTTTTCATTAATGTCTTCCTCAACTCACTCTTAATCATCCCATTATTATTGGTTTCCTTCAATTCCTCTTATCAATAGTACTCCTAGCTTTAGCTAATCCTAGGTTTTATATTTTATGATTAATTTGTTTGAAATTGTGACGCAAAAGATAGAAAATAAAAAAATTGTTCATTCTGCACTAATACTCTAGATTTGTCATACCATGGTCTATTAATTCACATTAATTGTCACAAAACTTGAATTTTTCTTCTTTGATCCTTCACATAGTCCACTATTTGTGCGGTCAACAGAAGATATAAAGAAACAAAATTTACCTGCCTCAAACAAAAATCTAACCAAATCAATTTTTATATATGCACTTAGTGTGAATAGTCTAAACACAGAGTTTTGCCATTCGTTTAAAGCCACGTGGGCCAGTCCGAACAAGGGGTGACAAGGTCGACATGACCCTGTCTCTCAAGCAAAACTCAAACAATTGTCTTCCACCGCAAGTTATTAATTCAAACACGGAAGCATTAATAGCAAAAAACCCTCCTAAAAATGATTACAATTGCGACATATTCCCTACTTATTGAAAATCGCAGAAAACCCTCATATTTGAAACATTTTATGCGAAATACCCCTTAACATCAGATTTTCCTTTAAGAACAGTAAAAATGTCAAAATTAAAAAGTAATAATTGCATTTTTAGTATTAAACTTTTTATTCTTTTACAAATTGTATCTAAATTTTTTTTATGTACCACGCACAATTACAAACATTTGAAACTTTATTTGGAATGAGAAGAAGAAATGAAACTTTAGGCCACTGTATCCCACCACCAAAAGCTTCATCTCACTCTCCTCTACAACCTCCAACCAACCGTCAGCCATGAAACAACAAGAATCAGCCGAAATCGCAGCCCAAAAACCCAATGTCGCGCACCCCTCTTCTGCCAGAAAACCCATCTTGACGATACCCACGGTCGCGCACCACCTCCTATTGATAGCCCTCATCCAGATCAGGATTATGATCTAACATCAAATAATAATGCACCATTTTGTTCTAAGGATGATTAAACAAATCTGGCAGTCGCGAAATCGAATTTGTCTGCTACAATTCGTGTTTCCCGCGACATTGAATCAACAAATTGGAATTAGTCGAATCTTAATCAGGACCCTTCAACAATGAGTAACATTCCAATTTCATCAATTGCTAAAGAAATCGTCGCAATTTCAGATTCAAAGTTTGCCTCCCTTCTTGCACGAACAAACGACACCCCCCCTCCCCCTCCCCCTCCCCCTCCTTTCAATTGGCCAATCTACTGTGCTCCAATCCGCCAATTCCACCATGGACAATTCAATTCAATCACATACAACACTGGGTCATAATCCACTTGTTCCATTGAGAGAGGAGTAGAAACGGGGGAAGATTTTTGTAGGTTTTTTGTTTAGTTTAGGGTGGGATGTGGTGGGGATGAGGGTAGGGTGGAAGATAAGTTTTAAAAGTTTGAGAATATGGTTTATACAAATAAAAGATTTTGGTGTAATTTGTAAAAAAATAAAAAAGTTTAGGATCACAACTGTAATTATTCATTTTTAATTTTTACAATTTTAACTTGTTCTTAACGGAAAAATTAACGGAATTGGACGGTAGGATATTTCGTTCAAAATGTTTCTTGAAACAAGAAGGTTTTTTGCGATTTTCAAATAAGAGGATTTATCGTAATTAAAAACGTTTTTAGGGGAGTTTTCTGCTATTAATCCAATACAGAATATAAAGTTTGAATGTGATATTACTGTACATATGTCACGTCAGTTTGGAGGGTCCCGTCCCTTTAGACATTTCTCTAGGCAATGATCACCTCCACTAATTCTATTTTGGCCGACAATATTTTTTATGAATTAGTATTTAAATAAAAATATAATACTAATAGTAACGATAAATAAAAAGAGGCACGAACTCTTGATTGTGGTTGGGGTCTCCTAGCGAGATTTCCATTTGTCCATCCTGTTTTATCCTAGCAATTCGCAATTTTATACAAAGACGGATTCAGAATCGAAATAGTAACGATAAATAAAAAGAGGCACGAACTCTTGATTGTGGTTGGGGTCTCCTAGCGAGATTTCCATTTGTCCATCCTGTTTTATCCTAGCAATTCGCAATTTTATACAAAGACGGATTCAGAATCGAATTATAAGTCGAATCAATATACTGAAAAAATATCTAACTGGCTGGGGACTAGACCCCCCCCTAAATCCGTCCATGATTTTATATTGAACATGTCATTTTAAAGAAAAAAGGTTGTTTTTATTTTTCGTTGGTGCTGGTGAAGTATTGGATTTTTGAGGAGATCTGTGTCCTTCAACAATTGGAGCGACAAATCCCTATTTTTCTGTTAAGACTGAAATGTCACGAGCATCTTCAATACAATCTATAGATAGTAATTTAGGCGACAAACATGTTGAAAGACTTGGTCCCTATTTGACAACCTTGAAAAGGAGTATTTTACACAGTTAATTTTTTAGCACAGTAAGATCATTAATTGACATTTGAAAAAGCAACGACAAGGTTGAACAAAAGTCAAAAATCCACCCGTTTAAAATACTAAATTCCCTGTTTGCCCTCAGATTTTCACTAAAAATTCCTTATATTAGGAGTAAAATTGGAAGGTACGTATCACAACATTAAAAAACAAAGGTTTGACATGAAAGATGCGGGCCCTAAAGATCGTCTATGACATTGATGTCTAGGATTATCTCTGATGCATTGTATATTGTCTATGTTCTTGAAAGATATAACATCGATGACTAATGAATTGGCCTCCCTCCTACCAAATACTAATGCCTGCATGTCTCTTACCTTACCTTAAAATAAGAATTAAACTACTTGTACAACAAATTTGTACAATGATTTTCACAATGTATGAGGTGTATAGATCATTGTCATTGTAGTTTGCACAATAATTTTGATAATGTGTGAGGTGTAGAAATCATTGTCATTGAATTCAAAATCAATCTTTCAAATCAACGGACATAATGTCTGTCAACTCACACATTGTCAAACTTATTATCAAATTCATTGTACAAGTAGCATAGTTCTTAAAATAAAATTAAGCCCCTGTTTTGTTTGAATAAAAATTAAATTTTAATTAAAAAATGATGAAATATGTATTTCAAAAGTTGATAAAAGTTACGAATTTGAAAAAAAAAAATGAAGGCCAAATATGGACCGAATAAAATAGTAAGGAATAGAGGAAATCCAATCATCTAAAACACAAAATTCAAGATTGGTTGTAATTCGTTGAAAATGAAATGTCATTCTAATTCGAAAATTGCAATTGTACGCTTGACTTTCTTACCCTAACCAAACATCTCCATCAATTAGTCTGTACCCAGTCGTGATTTAAACCAAATCATCCTTGTATTATCTCCGATGCACTCTCAAACATGCTTAACACTTTCATCAAGCTCACGCTCTTTCCGCTATGACTAGGGATGACAAAATGGCTCGTCACTCGGATGGCACGGGCTCGACCCGAAAAAAACCCGAGGCTTAAACTGAGCCCCATTTTGGGGCATCGACTCAAGCCGAGCAGGCCCCGTGAGCTTAAAAAATTAAAAATAAAACTTACCTGCCACTTCTTTTTTGTAATTTTTTTATGTTTTCTTTTCATTTTAGCTATAATTTTTTTTATATGTTAATATTTTTTTATTATTTATTATAGGTATAAATTGCACAAATTTAAATTCTTTTAAAAAAATTTAGATTTATCACGAATTAAAAAATCTTAAATTTTTTGGCCGAGCTTTTGAGCTTAAATTTTTTGGCCGAGCTTGTGCTCGGCTCAGCTCAGCCAAAACAAGTTCTAAGTATTTTTACTCGAGTCGAGCCCGAGCAAAAAGTTTCGGCTCGCAGCTCAACTAGTTGACACCCCCAGTTATGACAGTATCACGAGCAGTTTCCTCTCAAAAATGGGAGGGTCAAACCAACTGCGAAAATACCACTTTAAGCACATCACATAACATATCATAATAGTGCAAATGTTTTCAGTTACTCGATGGCTAATACAAAACTGAAGTCCATACATATCGACTTAATCTTCCTAGGCCAGTGTAGTTTCCAAACATAATTAGCAACGCAGTATGCTCAAATATGCCAGCCAGTAAAGTCAAGTGTAATCATAAAACTACAATAAAATTACCTGTACAAATATGACTCATTGCATTTATTGGTTGTATTTAAAAGAAGCTAATAAGATAGAAAAGCAAACCACATTCTATTACAAACCAGAAGTAAGTTTCAGTTTCGACTTCTATACAGGCATTACCTTTTTTGCAGGATTATGGGTATAAGACTTATATTTTTGTACAGCCATGTTTGATGTCAGACATGCCCTTGATACAAAGAAGACTCAACTCACTGATCCCCGTTAATTCCAAAGATTCGGACCTTATGCATATTTGGGAACTTGGCAACAACTAGAACAAGAACTGCAAGTGTGTTGAAGAAGAGCATTGGGTGTTGGTAGTCAGTTGTATGTGAGGCTATCAAGTAGCTGCAAACAGAGCAAATTGATAAAAATCATACAAGTAAAATTTAATGTGGATAATAAAACATAATGTCGTACATATTAGAGAATGTCATACTCATCAATACAAGCAATTAATTTTGAGACTGAGAACAAGTACAAAATCAAAAAGGAAAAGAATAAATTCCACTTTTTCCTTCACCGCCAAAATCACACATAAACCCAATTAATTTATTAATATATTCAAAAGAAAAGCAATTGATTTATAGATTTAAAAATTGCTGACCCTTAATATGATCGTTTCACTTTCTTGCATCTCAGTTCAAAACCAAACATTAGAGAACTTTTCTCGTGTATTCTTGGGTTATGATATATGTTTCAATAATTTAACTCCAACAGCCCCATCATATTAAAAGTACTTCAGAGTCATGTTTTTCTTTTAATTTTCAGACATAAAAACAAATGTATTTTTCCATAAATAGTTGCTCACTTAAGAACAGTAAAGCTCTTTCTTGACTAGCAGATGCGCTGATGTCAAGTCAAAAAATAATTACCATGCACATAACTAATTATAATAGTTTGTAATAGTCAAACGTAACATGCCACCACACTGTGCAGGCAAAAAAAATCCTTGGTCAATGTTCTCTAGCGAGAGGGGAGGAGTTTTGCCATCTTCAGATATTGCATTGTCTCTAAATATGGAGACAATCAATCCCTTTACCTCCAACACACACATCCGTCTTCATTCCCAGAAAGATTAAAAAAAAAAAACAAAGAATTCAACAAGAAGCAAAAAAGAGTACAAGAAGTAAAAGATGGACTTACAGCACCACAGGCACAACTGTTAGGAACTTTCTATTGCGGGTGAGCTGCTTTCCATCATCAATCTGCTCCCACCATGTCAACGCATTATAGATTCCCTGATCATCAGCAAAAGGAGTTCCCTTTTTCCAATGGAAAAAGTGATAAGTTACCTAATTGCAGAAAAACGTATTCATGTTAATACAAACCCAAAACTGGATTAGCGTGAATGAGGTGTAGAAAATGATAAAGACCTGTTTAACAATTTTATCCTCTAAAGAATTGTCTATTGGAAATCATTTCTTGGAATAGTTCATAAGAGAGAAATACATTCATAGTTGATGCTTGCTACTGAAGATTATAAAGGAAAAGCATGTCACATGTTAGTACGGTGTAAGAAAATGAAATGTGCACAAACAATCAGGAAATAGCAATTAAGAACATGAAAGGAGGAGGATGATAAAAAGATGACAGAGGAAAAATTGAGCACTAAATCTTTCAAGTAGCTTTGACTGCTCAACAAGTATCCAAAGGCTAATATAGTTATAAGTCTTAACAAATTACTAAAATAAGGAACAATTATTAAAGAAAGGACAAACTGACAATGGATTAGTTCAATGATTGTACATAGAATCTCTTGTAACTTAGATATACACACAGATTCTCTAGCTTCAAAGACATACACACAGCTGTATGTCTTTAGTCTAACGTACAATAAACTATTGAGCTAATATATTGCAAGTTACAAGGATTTTCAAAATTTAACATTCCTAGGGTACATACATGAAGATATAACATAACAACAAAAAAGGGACACCCATGATTTTATTAGTCCGCAATATGAAACATAACAAATGTGAAGAGCAGAACTGGCATATATTCTTGTATTTCGAGGGACTCGGATACACTTCACTCAACAGGTATGTGAATTGACATCATCAACAGCTGCCATAGAGTACACCATCTATCAGACACTACTTTTTGTCCTGTGTCCAAAATTTATTTGGGAAGCTTAAAGTTTTAGTGTTCATATGTATACTTGTCGCTATCTATAACAGAATAGGAGGTAATTTAGCCCCTGTTTGTCATCCATTTTATCAAACATTGTTTGTTACAATAAACAATCTCCACCACATATTCATTCAATAAAATATTCTACACACAAACCAATAAAATTATTTTACTTTTCAACCACACATTCTCCAAAAAATATTATTCAAAACTCTGTTTCTTCTCCCAAAATGGGAGACAAACAAGCATTAGTGTAGAGAGATATAGGCCCCTATTTGTTATCCATTTTATCAAACATTGTTTGCTACATTAAACAATCTCCACCACATATTCACTCAATAAAATATTCTACACACAAACCAATAAAATTATTTTACTTTTCAACCACACATTCTCCAAAAAATATTATTCAAAACTCTGTTTCTTCTCCCAAAATGGGAGACAAACAAGCACTTAATCATCTAGCTGAGTTACATAAAAGGTAATAAAAAAGGTACCTTGATTTTATACATGTTTCTATTTTGTTTTTGAAGAGCATATGGGTTCATAAAACAAAAGGGAACTTCACCAATATATAATACAAGGCATAAGTATAACATGATACACATGAAACCTTCAAGTATACACCATCTGAAGGTAAGGTTTGAATGTGTACGGCCACTCCAAAAAAGGTCTGTATTATTTTTGGATCTAAATTTGCCTCCTATTTGTTAAGAGTAACAGAAATTACCTAATTCCATGGCTCTAGTAGAGCCAAAACTTAAGTGATCTTGTCTGTAATATTATGTATCTACCCAAGAGGAGAAATTTCATATTTGTTTACAATATCTCAGCCATAAAGGATAGAATTTCTTGAGAGTGACCTGAGTTAGGCTTTCTCTGTTTTCTTGTTTATTACATACTTTTATTCAGACACACATAGTTGCTTAATAGAAGTTTTTCATTAACGGAAAAGCAAATAAAAGCCACAATATTAACAATTGAGCCATTATTCACTATGCCCTAAAAATACCAAGAATGGAGACTTTTTTTTTTTTTACCAGGAAAAGTGAATTTGATGGCCGCAGAAATTCTTAGTAAAAATGCAAAAAACTCTATGCCGGGATCAGATGGAATATTTACCATGCCCAACTCTCCATATACGATCTTCATGTGAAATTCGATGCAACCAACTGACACACAATGAGTCCATTTAAAACAGCTATAATGAGTATCACGGAATTTAACAGTTAAAAGGACACAGAAAAGTTTCAATTTTATCAATATCCCAAGAATAACAATAAAAAAAAAATAAAAATAAATAAATAAAAACAAAAAAAAAAAAAAGGAAAACTTTCAACTTCCACGCTAAGATAAAGAGTGTCCTCAGGCTCAGGTAAGTAGGTTTACATGAAAATAAGAAAGGAATAAAGTAAAATTAAACCTAAATTAAATCTAAATTAAGCTTCAAAAATCTCATCATCATAATTCATGACTGAATCTCTTAAAAACCTAGCAACGGCATAAACTTTAAACCAATTAAACAAATAAATGTAATATAACGCATAAAAAGGGTAAATTACTTACGACGAAGTGGCAGAGGTTAACAACGGTCCATGCCATGCCCGGTGTACAATTAAAGACGGAGAGAACGAGCAACCAGCAGAAGAAGAGTATTAATATGTAGGCGGTCCATACTCCTGGATACATGAACCACTCTGTGTTCCGGTTCAGATCCGCCGGCGGAACCGCCTGCACGTACAGCTTTCCGATCATTTTGCACCGCACTACACTGCTAATTATTCAATTCCTTATTCTCTTAGAATTTATCAAATGCAAATGATTCAACGAGTCAGTATCGTTAGTTTCAATTGGTCTGTCTGTCCAATCGAGATAGGAGTGGAGGCTTGGATAAGCTCGAAGTTTGTTCACTTCAGCCACATTTTTCTTACATGATGCATTTTGAAATATTATTTCAACGAGAATATATGATTAAAAAATAGAAATATTGCCACAGCAATCCTTAACTTTTTTAATTTTTGCGAAATTTATCCTAATCTTCAATTTGTGTCATCCACAATTCCAAAACTTTCAAAAATATGCGATTGGAATCCAATGGATGAAACATCCATTTGATTGTTAGTTGACCAAAGAAGTCAAACTTGACCAAAGGGCAAAATGGTAACTTAAATTGTAAATCAAAAACACCTCATCTTCCACTTCCCAACCCACCCGCTAATCAAAACCGTTTCTCTCCTTCTCCGACAAGCCCTACAAAAAACAACCACCACTGCCACTATTAGTGTCGACACCCTCCACCGCCACCACAACTGCCTGTTGTACATTTGAAAATAAACCAAGAAAAATCACTCATCGTTGGCACCCACACGATGCTGCACCTAAATCAATACCACCACTCGTTCCAACTCTAATCTATTAACTTTTTTAATTTCTACAATTTCGTGTATTTTTTTGTCACTGTGTGAACTATGCTGAAATTCGGAATATTTAATCTTTAAAACTTGTGCTAAAATTGAGACACTTGTTTACAGTTGATTATGAATGCTATTGATGCGTTGAATGATAATAATCGCTCAAACAAATCATCAATTTCAAAGCACATCGAGGCCACCTATGGAAACCTCTCGACGACCTATTCAACTCTACTTTTTCACCACCTGAACAAGATGAAGGCCATTAGGAACAATTACCTTAAGTTGGGGCCTGGATGCCCGCTGCACAGTGGCAGTCCACTGAAGCCCAAGACACCTCTTCCACCGAGCACCATTCTATCTCTTCTTCGTCCTCGTCCTCATCCTCATCCTCGCGGTCGCCCACCTAAAATACTGGATCCCAATGATCCTCTGCCACCTCCAAAGCGAAAATCTGCTCCAAGCCCTGCTGCTTCTTTTTTTTACAATTTAAGTTACCATTTTGTCCTTTATAAATTTGATCAATTTTGACTTCTTTGGTCAACTAACAGTCAAATCCATCCATTTGGACTCCAACCGCATATTTTTGAAAGGTTTGGAATTATGGGTAGCAATAAAATGAAAATTGAGGTAAAGTCTACAAAAATTGAAAAAGTTAGGGACCGCTATTACAAATTTCCTCTAAAAAATAAGTAAAAAAATTTGAATTTGAGTGTAATATTATTTTATTGAAAAATATTTGATTGAAAATAAAAGAGAGAAAAATATATTTTGAAAATAATGGGAATCAACGACTTAATTTATGTTTGGCTTAATAGTACAATACCCCTATCCATTATCCAAATTGTAGAAAATCTCTTACCTTTTGAAAATAGCACAAAACGTTCCTAGTTGAAATGGTTTTTTTTTTTTTTTGCAAAATATCCCTTATCGTTAGCATCCGTCCATCATGTTGTTAAATTCTAATAAAAAGAGGAAAAAAGGGAAAAAGGGGGGTGGGGGGGTGGCAAAATCCCCCGCCTATTAGACATGGTGTGCAAAACCCTCCCTCACACGTAATGAAATTTGCAAAAAAGGTCACTGCCATATATTTTCTCCATAAAAAGATGAAAAATGATTATTATGACCTTCTATTATAGATAGAGGAGTATTGTATATTAAGCCTTTATGTTTTTTATTACTCTTTTTTTTAGTGGAGGGTCAAAACCCATGCGTATTTTATTGAGAATTAAGGCATATATATGGTTCAAAATGAGAGTTACAATTGTAATGAAATAATCACTAAATTAATTAAGATTTATCAATGCATGATAATAAGATTATATAATTATCAATATTTATCTTACAATTTTACAGCACTCCCTCTTTGATAATTATTTGCACAATAACTATCTTATTGAAATATTGTTTGGCAAAAACTCGAAGGGACAAAACTGCCAATAAATAAAAAGAGTACAAATAATTTGGAGTAATAAAATAAATTCCTTATTAAAACCTTTTCAAGAAAGCTCATTAGGACAAATCTCGATCGAAAGGAAAAAAAAGTACAGTTACTTCCATTGACTTCAATAAGTGGAAATTCTTGTATCAAACGATTCATGTCTTGTACGTCAATGTCTTAAATATTTCAATTTCTGATGAGTTATGTCTCATGTTCTCTGTACGCCCTCAAATAATATCGTCTATAGGAGATATTAATCTGCCTTTGATGATTATCATAGCATGATTATTCGAAAAATAGCTCTTGTTGATCTCTTCAAGAGTTTCGCACATATAAGAGTTATTATGAGGGTAAATGTCTTGTATATCATGGACATTTATTACACAAAAAATATGTCTCGTCAAAACCTTATTAGAAAAAGTCATGTGGGAAAAATTCTAATAAATGAAAAAGAGTACATTATTCTTTTAAATACGTCACAAAAGTTGTTTCATTAAAAACCTTGTTACGAAAATCCAATGGGATAAACCCTTGGTCAAAGAAAAAAGTATAACACGCATTCTCTCCCTCATAATAATAGCACTTGAATTATATGTTTTAGGCATAAAATCTTTTAAGGATAGTATTAAAACCATACAAGATAAGTTAATTATAATCACATTTATTACATGCATTGTCACACTAATGAAATAGAGACTTGTGATTATATTCACCACATGATCATTTATTTATTTATACGAGTTTTCGCGAAATTCATTATGTAAAGAGTTATATATTTCACATTACAACTTCACTTTTTTCTAATTTCATTTTGTATAAGTATACATCTTTGGGTGTTCAAATTGTAAATTTAAAAATTTTAGGTTTTTCTAGTAAATTCAATTTTACTAAGATCGTGTTCAGAAATTTCAGCTTTCTCTAGTAAAATCAATTTTAGTACGATCGCATCATTTTATTTGGCCAATTATTATTTCGATCAATATGTTTCGACGAATTTATTTCGATTCCTTGTTATTCATAATATGATGCAATATATTATATGAAAAAATATTGTCGACAACTTTTTCTTTTCTATTTTCGATTCTATTTCTTTTTCCATAATGACATAATTTATTGAAATATATCAATTTTCAACATATAAGGTACTTGAACCTTTTCTTTGGTTTTATAATTTGTTATGTCTAAATATTCATTAAGAGTATGCCTTCTTAATGGGATTATATTTACTAATTGTTCCACTTTCGTTTGGAGATTTTTATTTTAAAATCGAATATCATCACGTTTCAAGAGTGCCATCAAATATCACATTACCTAATTGTCCTCTATTACATTAATTCAAGTTGGAACATTTAAATTTGATGTGTGAAATATTAATGATCACTTTGGTCAGTGAATGCATCTAAATGAATCATCTTTCGAACTTCTAGTTCGAATGATCTGTTGTGAGGAGTTAGATGATGATGAATTTGTACATTATTTGCAATTTCTTAATTCCTCCCTCTAATGATGAGAGAATTATCCAATCAAACAATCCTTTTTTCTACATTATAAATATCAATCATTTGGGATAAGGGTTCAAACTACGCGTTCATTTTTGGTATTCTTTACTTTCCATCTCAGTGCATTGTGATTGATTAATTTTACATATAATTCACTATCAAAATAATTAGATTGAAAAATTAAGCTTTGATCATAAGTCAATTATAACTTAGAGAATTATGATATTGGCATGATGCACAATAAAATTCCTTAAATAGAAATGAGAAGTACTTTGTTCTTAATTAATTGAGACGTTTAACAAGCAATAGTATTAAATTGTTTATCGACATCTCAACTAACACTTATTAAAAGCTTTAGATTTATGCTCACTAGTATTAACAAAGCATATCATCTTGATTGTGTAATTTGAAAATTATGCTCATAATTTAAAATTTGAGTAATAATTTCGCAAATTTCAGGTTGCGACACTATGCAATCATCTAGTATATGTATCAAATAATATTTAGAAGTCAACATGGTCAGTAACGGGCCCATATATCACCCTAATTAATTTTCAAAAACATAGGAAATTCAATCTATATTTTAGTTAGTGATGATCAATTTCGATAAAGAGAATTGGGATTGAAAAATATTTTGGTTCTTCATTGAATGTTCAAACTTTCAATTTCACATCATTATTGGTCCAAAGATGAGATAACTGGACATACAATAAAATATAAAAATTATTGAACTTCTGGTTCAAAACAATATTTTATCAAAATGGTCACTAGAATAAAGCATAGTGTACTAATTAAGAAACAATATTACAAACTTTGTATATTTCTTATTTATTTAGTGGAGAATAAATTTCTAACAATAGTAAGTTTATCCCTTCATATCACACAATATTTACTCTTTTGGAGTCTCAAAATAATATTTTTCAGGAATATTGATATAAATAAACTATTGCTTCTTTAAAAGAAATTTTTAATTAAAATTGCAATTATCCAGAATCAATACAATATTTACATTGAAATGTATAAATTGTATTTCTTCAAAAACAATCACATAAATTGTATTTCTTCAAAAATATATAAAATTATTTATAGATCTGTTAAAAAAATATATCTACATGTTAATCTATATCGAAATAAGATTTATCGAATAAAAGTATATACTAATTTAACAAAAACAGAATTAAACATACGTAAATATACTTATTGCTTTGAAGTTATAGGTATAAAAAAATATTTTCTTATTCAGCGTTTAATAAATTTATGAGATTTTATAGGTTGAAGTAGATAAAAAATGAAGAAGTTTTTATCTGTATTGGAATAAATAGATAAGAGAAATTAGTCGATTTTAAAATTTTAAGTGGAAAATATTTGATTTGTACTTGTTAACTAAAATTATAGTATTGTTTTTTTTTTTAAACAAAACAATATTTTCTAATTGTATTATTTATTTAAGGACATTTTTGTCTTTTAACATTCATAAGATCATTGTAAAAATATGTAATGGGTAATTATATTACCACTACAAAATTTACTTATTACACCACATTATAATCACACCACAATTAAAATATATTTTCAATAAATACACCACAACAAATTTACAATTATACTTACTATTCAATAAAAACTTAAAATGAACAAATTCATAATCACACCACACCATTTCTTCTACCCTTTAAGCTGCCTTAATAGCGATTCGATCTCTTTTGCGTTTCTAAGAATTTCTTCGACAATTCTTCTTGCTTCTCAATTACATCCTTCATCAGACTCTCGAAATAGACCAGAGAAGGAGGTGGAGGATTATGCTCCGTTGAGTTTAAGATCCCAAAGGAAATTACTTTTGTTTATTAATAAAAAAAAAAAACTCTTGGTATAACTTTGAAAATAACCTTACTACACAAACATTCAATTGGTTATTGCTCCTACAATGATACCAACTCCCATATGGCAGTGGCATGAAGACGCTAGTTACTGGAGAGTTCAGCAGTGGAATATATAAGGGGCCGCTTTCTTTGTGTTTCAGTTTTCTGTTTTGAGTTTTGAATTCGTTTTGTGTTTTATGTTTTAAGTATTTGTTTTGAAGTTGCTGAAAATGCTTTTTGTCATTTTGGAAAACTGTTTCTGAAAACATAAAACTAGAGAACGCGTTTACTTTGAAATTTTGAGAAATTTTTGTTTTAATATTTTATTCTATCGTTTTGTGTTTTGTGTTTTGAGTGTCCGTTTTGAAATTGCTGAAAATGCGTTCTGTTTGTTGTTTTGGAAAACTGTTTCTGAAAACATAAAACTAGAAAACGCGTTTACTTTGAACTTTTGAGAATTCTTTTTATAATTTTTATTCAAAAAATCTGATTAATCAATAAATTTTAATAGTTTAATGTTAATGACTACAACAAAGTTCACTTTTTACGACATGCAATGTTGTGATATATTATACAGCATACTTTTGTTGCCACTGTAAAAGCCTAAAAGGCAATTTGGGTGAATATCATTATTCATCTATAGCCAAATCATCATAATATTCAAGCCCATGAAAAATAACGAAGCATTTTAACACATTTTCCTCTTTGAAACCTCCAATTTCCCATTACATAGTACACACCACAAGTGCAAACTAACATCAAATCATTCCAGTTTCAGTCTATTCTAAAAATTTTTTTGTTTTCAATCAATGATCTGCACAAGCAAAAGAAAATTCCACAATTCATTTGATAAATCCCTATCTCAGCACAAATTCATCTCTTCGCCTATATGAACTCCTCATAAATGAATGGGATTTACATAGCCCCCCGGGGCATATTCAAGTTGGCAAAGGATGGGTATTGCTGAGCTTGCAACCTCAGGGTGGAGAGTTCGATTCCTGGATGGAGCAGCTGAGTGTTGTAATACTCAATTTGGGTGGATCAGCTTGGTGATGTAATATCCATGGAGGAAGGCTCTCTTGGGGGCAGGAGTATAAAGGGTGCACAGACCCTAGTCAACTTGGGCATATCCCGCGATTAACCTCCACCCATCACTGAGGGGCCGGTGATGGGTGGTCCAGAACATAGTCTGGTGTAAGTTAGGATACCTGGATATCAAAAAAAAAATGAATGGGATTTACATACAAAAGACACACCAACTAATCTGCAAGACCAACACCTACTTACCATCATCCATTGTCTTATCTACAGCAACATTGAACTTTTTGTACTCAAATTCCTTTGGCTGCAAAGCATATTCCTTTGGCTTCACAGCATATTCCTCCGACACCACAGGACGTCTATTTGCAAAGATAGTCCAAACAAACAGCAAAAATCAATGCAGTGATGATTCTCAAGGTACAATAACTTCTGTTATGAACATTTAGTTCTGATCCTTTCTTCACAAAAGACTCAGGGTCCACTGGTTCTGAATGCATCCAATGCGGGAAATTTCTTGACCTAAAACTCCTCAGAAATGCACATTACACTTTTTTGATGAATTCCCACTCGATGAACTCAATCCCACTAAAGCATCCTCCTTTCCCCACATCTGTGACAAGTCAATAGGATAAGAAAGCAATGGCTCAACTGGCTTAACGATGCCTAACTTACTTAACCTCACCTCAATTCGTTTAGAATTTGCTTCATAGTCAATCCATGCCTGTAATTTTTTAGCACTATTCAGCACCAAATTTATTGATGAAACATTAATTGCTCACTTTAACAGACACAAGACTATCGATATCAATGCCAACATGATTACCATTGGCATCACCATACTTTTCATCCTTAAAAGTATCAAATTCAATAGCAAGAAACCTCATTTTTCTCTCCTTCAAAAGCCCCATTGAGCCACCATCAAAAAAATCCACAGGAAAACTAGCAAGAACTATAATAAAGGCCAAGCCATCCCCATTTTCACTAGACATGGAAAACACAAAATTCATAGAAGACACCATATTTTTTTGGTTTTCTTCAACAAATTTAACAGGATTCTTGTAAATGACCCTCCCAGAACCAGAAATTCGAATACTATCATTGGCAACCCTAGCATCACCATATAGAGCAATCTGTGATTCAAATTCTTCTGAGTATCTACCAAAGTTCTCGAAAGAAAATGACAAGTTTAGGTCTGCACCCACAACTTTCAAGTAAAGATTCAGCAGTAAGAAAGCCATGAAGTACCTAGAAACCAAATTTGAAGCCATTCTTGATCTGGGCTTTGAGCAAGATGCTGAGGCTCTGCTTTTTATGTCTTTTATTCTGGATTTACAAGGCTTTCTTTGAAGAAGTACACATAGAGAAGTAATATTAATATTAAAAGTGAAATTATTTATGATTTTTTTCTAGGGTTTGAGAGCAGAATTATATCTTTAGAACCAAAAAAGATGGGGCAAGAAATTGTGCTGGGAGGTTCCGAAAATTGTCCCTTTCCGAAACTTCCCATTGGCTTGAGCTTCCATGAAAACCCTAAAGCCTTCTCCTGCTCAACCTCTAATGATTTATTATTCGTCTTCTTCTTAACCGTCCCTCCATAACACACTCTAAAGAAATACCTAGATTTGAAGATAATATTGAGATGAGCCTTCGATTGAGCCTTTGATTCTTCAATCTGATGAAGTATTGGAAGAGGAAGACAGAGCAAACCGTGGAGAACTGATCCGGAATGAACGTTATGGGTGGGGAAGAGAGAGAGTGATAGGAAATGAGAGAGGAAGCTTATTTTTTTAACTTGGGGGCGTTTTCTGCATTTTGAGTCCTCGTCGTGTTTTTGCCTGAAAACAGGGTTTTTGACGTTATCCATTTTCAGTACAATTTTTTTTGTTTTCAAAAACGCATTTTCGAAAATAGGAAAGAGAACGCATTTTCACTGTTTTGAAAAATCGAAAACAGAAAATGGCCTAAAAAGGGCAAAGAGAACAGGCCCTAAAATTTTGAAATTGGATTCTTCTTCTTGACTTCGTTGGCTACACAAGAGAAAAATCTGGAATATAATATTTAAGCCAAGTTGGTGGTTATCTTCATGTTCAAGAGCATGTAATTGATCATAAAATCTACAATAAAGCTCCTTGTATAATGTTGGATTACAGCCTCTCACAATGGAGGTAGGGCCCACTATTATTTAAATCATAGGGTCCACCTCCCTTGTGAGAGGTTGTAACTCAATACTGTAATCCAACATTGTACATGTAGCATTGTTCTAAAATCTATAAGTTTTATCGTCTGATTTTGAGGAAGAAAACAAAATTAGGTTTATGATTGTGGTGGGATAAAAAATTAATTCATGTAATAAATAATTAAATATATTAAAACTCCATTTATGTAATTTTACTTTAAACCATTTAACTAAATAAAAAAAATACTTAAAATTGTGGTGTATCTAACAAAATTCGCAGCGGTAATAATTACCTATGTGTAATCGTCGCCTAAATTATACAGATTTCCCTCATCGGTATCGGTATGCACCTTTCTAGCTGTGGGATTCGAACCTTGGTGGAATGGTATGCTGCCAGCAATTATATTAACAAAGGCGTGTTTTTGGCTATAACGTTTTTTATCACATTACTTTACTAAGATGGTGACACGTGGACAGATCTGGACTGTTGGCTGATCAAATTGGATGA